AAGGAAAAGAAGCCTGAAGTTGTGAACGTGGAACCTGAAATGAAGGAAAAGAAGCCTGAAGTTGTGAATGTGGAGCCTGAAATAAAGGAAAAGAAGCCTGAAGTTGTGAACGTGGAGCCTGAAATGAAGGAAAAGAAGCCTGAAGTTGTGAATGTGGAGCCTGAAATAAAGGAAAAGAAGCCTGAAGTTGTGAACGTGGAACCTGAAATGAAGGAAAAGAAGCCTGAAGTTGTGAACGTGGAGCCTGAAATGAAGGAAAAGAAGCCTGAAGTTGTGAACGCGGAGCCTGAAATGGATGGAAAGAAGCCTGAAGTTGTGAACGTGGAGCCTGAAATGAAGGAAAAGAAGCCTGAAGTTGCGAACGTGGAGCCTGAAATGAAGGAAAAGAAGCCTAAAGTTGCGAACGCGGAGCCTGAAATGAAGGAAAAGAAGCCTAAAGTTGTGAACGCGGAGCCTGAAATGAAGGAAAAGAAGCCTAAAGTTGTGAACGCGGAGCCTGAAATTAAGGAAAAGAAGCCTGAATTGGAAGGAAAAATGCCACAAAAGATCGAAGAAGGGTCCGGAGTTCTACAAGTGAACGAAAGTGTGATCGAAGTGGAGGAAGAAAAGCCTGAAATAAAAAGTGTAACTAGTAATTATGAAGACTTCCAGCTAACCGATGGCAAAAATATTAAAAGACAAACGTTCTTCCAGAATTCCAATACGAATTCCAATTCAAAATCATGGCCCGAATGTGGCAAAATCTCAGCTTATCCCATCACAACATGTCCCCAACATGTCGGCGGTTCGCACAACGTGTCCTCGACACGTTCAGGGCGTAAGGGGTGCCACCAACCTCCAGAAACTGTGGTCCGGTCAGCTGATGGGAGCGTGAAGTGTTGTAAGAACGTTAAAGATTCTATACTTAAAGTAGGTTCTCTTCAAAAGAAGCTCAAAGATGTCGGAGATAAGAGTACGTCGATATTTAGGTGATTTATCGATTAATATAGTTCATTGATTGAAAAATGCTAAATTGATGTACTTGATTGATTGAAAAATACTAAATTAACATAAATGATTGATTGAAAAATACTAAATTGATATACTTCATTGATTGAAACATACTAAATTGATATACTTTATTGATTGAAACATACTAAATTTATATACTTTATTGATTGAAACATACTAAATTGATATACTTTATTGATTGAAACATACTAAATTGATATACATCATTGATTGAAACATACTAAATTGATATACTTTATTGATTGAAAAATACTCTCGTCATCGTTTGACAATCGTCGCCTCTGACAAGGCACGCGTACTTTTAAAATATGTACATATTTGTACGAATGTCTGCTAATCTGTGTTCAGCTTCCTTTATGCCAATAGCTTACGTGAAAATTCCATTCGCTATCTCCGTTAGTGGTCGATTATGTAGCCTCTTACTATCGGGAACTCCATGTATTCCTGACTTTATCGTACGTTTTGCTGGGCCTAACTGGGTCAGGATGACCCACACAATGGTAGAAGGTGCATTGATATTAAGATAAAATGTAATTTATTTCTCAGCGTATATAAAGGTCCCTCGCCCATGATACACTAGATAAAGATCATGCACTAAAATTTAAAGATATATTTTCACCTTCATATGTCCCCTTTGGTCAAATTCACTGTACATATTCAAGTATATTCGGGTACTATGCTATATAAATACTCCTTACAATATACTTATTCTATTTATTATTCTATAATAATTTAATAATTGAAAGTACAAAATAGTGCTTGAGATGCCAGTGCGCACAGTGCTTATAGAACTGTGCGCTTTCTGCTGCGCACCGTTGGCATATACTTCATTTTTTGCATTTACCTTTCAAATTCAATAAACAAAATATTCAATGTGCAATACAGTGCATTGTTTTATATTGCATTACAATGTTTCATTTCTTGAATGGCGTTATGTTGACTCGTTATCATCGTGCTGATGATGAATATAATATCTTATTATGATGAAAATATGATATTGTTTTCATATGATGAAAATAATATCTTATTGTGGTGAAAATATGATATTGTTTTCATATGATGAAAAGAATATCATATTATGTTGACCAGGTGCTTACTATTGTGCCAAATAAATGCTATGGAATTTTCCGTGTCTCCTTACACCTTTAATTTTTGATTCTCTAATGCATTTGTGAGATTCTTAATTAATTTATTAATAACTATTAACTAAATATAATTATTATAAATGAAGTTGAGTTTCCTCCAAATCCGAGAAATATATTAATTATTTAATCAGTAGTTCATTAATCTCAGTTATGTGGCTAAATCGCTCATAAATCAGTTTAATTAATAACAGTTAGCTGTCACAAATAAAGTTTGTTCTCTCCCATATACGAGAAATATATTTATTTTATAGACGTGCAGCAACTGTCATAGTTTAAGGTATGACTTTTCGGTTGTTTATGAATTAGTTAATTAATAACTGCAGCAAATGAACTTGTATTATCACAAAACTCGAAAAAATGTTGATTTTACGCCCAAAAAGAGGCTAAAATAAAAATATATTTTGAAATACATTTTATTTATATACATCTATCTATTTGTATTGCAGATTCATTAGTTTTACTGAAATTTAACTAATTGTTTTTTCACACCAAATATTTTTTCCTTCTCTTTTTCCTAGGACATTTTCCAATATTATCCTATTTAAGGTTATAAACTTAACGATTATTTAATTCCTGTGAAAGTATTGCAAATTTTCCTATTTCTTGACGGTGAATTTTCATACATTTTCTCCTATAAGAAAGTTAACTTCACTTATAAATTATATTCATATATAATATATGACGCTGCATTATTTCCCGTGAGAATATAATTGACGTTGAGTTATTTATAAACTTTCATTTAGTTTATTAAGTATTAATTTAAGTATAAAATTTAGTGTGTTAAGTATTAGGTTTCATTCGCATTCATTTATTAGCTGGACATTTGGAATAAATCATTTGGTAAAATGACAATGAATCAGTTTCATGATCAATTATAATGATCATTAGGAAATATTTTGTATGAATTATTCCACGCTATTACTTGCATACAGCCACACAAGATGTATGCATTCTATACACATTCACTCTTTATACAAGCGTGTAATTTTTTAATGGGCCAGTCCATGCTATTATTTTAAATAGAGCCATACAATATGTATGTAATACATACACCGCACGTAATACATTCACATAGACTTTGTATTACATACACATATACTTTGGTGTGTGTGTATGTAATACATTCACATACACTTTGTATTAAAAAAAAAAGTTTGGAGCCATACTCGCCTCTCTCGGTATCATGAACACGATTGCCTTATTTCGCGTGGATTTGATGTTAGTGATATATTGAGGATTATATATCATTCATATATTACTTCATATATATTTACATAATACATCACCACCATGAATGCAAATAGCAAGACAAAAGTACCGTCGTATCGACACGCCCCCTCTTGTACACTATTTGTTGCACTCGCATATGGAGATATTTTAAATATCACATAAGATGCAATGTGATCATACAGAATATATATTATTGAGTAATTTGGTCCATTTATTTGCCAGTTACATGGAAGTATTATCGAAAACTTATTAATTTCCAGTAATTTTTACAGGACTCGTTCGATCGAACTCGTTCGGTACACGTTACGTCGACGTGCAATGGTATACGTGGAACGTGGCTCAGATAAATACATTCTTTTGAGCCTCGTATCTTTAAATGAATGAAATACAACTCCAAAATATGTAAAATATAATAATGGATAAGTGGAAATGAAAGTGGAACTTATATATAATTATTAGATTACTTTAAAACAGAATATGGTTGTGAAGGAGTAATGTGGCGGTACCTGGCATCGATACCAGCGCTGCACCAGGCATCACTCATACTATACTAGCGTTTGCTTTAAAAAATGTCAAAAAGAAGTAAAACTTCGTAAAGAAATATGACTATTTTAATTTAAAAATTATTGCTTTGTATGAAAATTTTTCTGGTATGAAAGTAAAAGTATAAACGGCTCATAGTAATCGATTTATAGAGCCATGTTTGCAGTCTAGCAACGCGCCGCGTTCTAGCGACAGCCTGCATCAGTGCCTTGTTGACGGCTGGCGTGAGAGGTGGGGTTGGTGTCAGCTCCTGCAAACAACAATAACAAGTATCTTCAGCCTTTGGAGTAAGCAATTTTCATTGGAAAACGTAAGTTATTTTACTTTTAATTCATTTATTCTATCATATTCTTAATTGTTATTCGTATACATACTTTTTAACGAGATAATCCACACCCATTTCGCTATCGTTGCCATCGATGTAGTTATCACTTACCATCATACTATGCTGGCGAATATTACATCATTTTTACAACGCATACTCATTGCATTAACCTGCATCACTATTCTATTCACCATCACGAGTACAGCGACGATGGTGAGCAATAATGTATCCCTGATGTGAATTGATAATTAAAATTTGATTATTATGTTTATTGAAATTTTAAACATTAATTTATTTACCTGCAAGGCTGCAATAACTATTAATTATCTTAGCACTACGATTATCTTCATTTAGGCGGGGAATCAAGCGACAGTGATAAATAAACAGATATATACATAACATTTTGTATTAAAATAGCTGAAGATGGGCCATATCTTTATATATAACTTGACTTATATTTTGTATATAACATGTAACCGAGCATTATTTATTTTGAATATTTGAACTATACTTTCTACAAGCCAACCATGAAGATTAGTACTTATCTTCTGCCTCCAGTTTTACAATGCCGATAGTAATAGAGAAAATATTTTATTTAATATATGACTGATAACATGACGTTAAATTTGCGACGTAACGTGTGCTTAGTGTTACGATGTAACGTGTGCTTAGTGTTACGATGTAACGTGTGCTTAGTGTTACGACGTAACGTGTGCTTAGTGTTACGATGTAACGTGTGCTTAGTGTTACGACGTAACGTGTGCTTAGTTTTACGACGTAACGTGTGCTTAGTGTTACGACGTAACGTGTGCTTAGTGTTACGACGTATCGTATCTGCTGCGATAGTGGGATAAATGCTAAAGTTCGAAATATAATAATTATTCCTTTTTGAATTTGTTGAAGTTTAGAACATATTTTCATAGTAACTCAGTGAGTGATGACGAGGTTGGAGTTTATATTTTTTTTTATTTAGTGATGAAAATGTTGAAGTTGAAAATATTCTTGCAATTTACAAGATTGCCTGAAAACTGATTCTTTTAATGGTTATTCATGATTTAATTTCCAGTTAGTACAATATCTTTTACTTTATATGTATATGCAAATTCTTTGCACTGCCTTATTTTAGATCATTTTCATGGGACGCATTACGCAAGACGTTTCTGTGGCAGCGAATTTTTCAAATTCTGTTACTAAAAAATTAATGTTACTGCAAATGAAGCACGAGAGCGTAAATAAATAACTTAGCATTAAAATGTATCTCAGTCTTGGGATGAAAAAATTATCTCGGTAAAAACTTGGTGGAATGGATTTTAGGAATGTTTTATTAGTAAAAGAATGTACATACTACCCATATATAACTCTACCTATTTTGCCCTCGCACTACCCTTTACTCTTCATATTATCTCTTCACACTATCCTTCACTCTCCGTATTATCCCTTCACACTATCCTTCACTCTCCGTATTTTTCCTCGCACTAGCCTTCACTCCATATTATCCCTTCACACTATCCTTCACTCTCCGTATCTCTCCCTCACACTACCCTTCACTCTCCGTATTTCTCCCTCACACTACCCTTCACTCTCCGTATTTCTCCCTCACACCACCCTTCACTCTCCGCATTTCTCCCTCACACTACCCTTCACTCTCCGTACTTTCCCCTCACACTACCCTTCACTCTCCGTACTTTCCCCTCACACTACCCTTCACTCTCCGTATTTCCCCTTCACACTACACTCTCTGTTGCGTATGATGGTGTCTGGTATATCTCACCATGTGGTATAATTCATACAAAATTTACCTTGCATTTCTTCATAATTTTATCGCCAGCTCATAATCACCAGAGCCTTCAATATGAGTGATGGTTCCAAACTAGTGGTAAATAAAGTTAATGGTGGTAAAGTTACCCTTACTGGGGTAACTTTCTATTTTTTAGGGTAAAAGATTGGTACAGACTTTTTGAAGCATTTAGTTACGCATATCAACGCTAGTACGTAACATTTTTGGCGGTGACGTGCTTATTTTGGCATTTAAAATAACAAAAAAAAAATAATTCACATGATGTTGTGGTGTGTTTGTATACGTCTCGGATAAATTCATGGCCGGACTCGTGACAGATCTCCAAATTCAGTGACTAAGGAATATCTCCCAAAGTAATGAACGCAGCTCGATAAAACTTGGTGCACGTATTCATTAGAACCCAACGGTGATGTTTAGCTCGCGACATTTTTTTAATTTTGCATTCGCTCGCGAGTTATACGGATATACGGAGAAACGACCGGCATTTCTCAGGCCGATTGTTAAACTTGAATTGACCAAGATCCGTGTACGTAGAGCCGTATAACTCACAAACGAAGGCAAAATCGAAAAAATTGTCTCGAGTTAAATATCAACGTTTGGAGGTTAGGTATTCATATACGAAGTTTCGTTCAAATCTGTTCAGTATTTTAGGAGAATTTTTTGCTCACTGCGAATTTAAGCACGTATTGCTGTTTAAATCACGAATGAGGTGAAAATGGAAAAAAATTCGCGAGCGAAGGCAAAATTAAAAAAAAATTGTCACGAGCTAAACATCACCGTTGAATAGTTAGGAATGTATATTAAAAATTTCGTTCAAATCTGTTCATTAGTTTGGAAGAAAAGTCTTGCTCACTGCAAATTCCGGCACGTATCGTCATACAACTCACGAATGAAGGTGAAATTAAAAAAAATTCACGAGCTAAACATCACCGTTAGGTCCTAATGAATACGTGTACCAAGTTTTATCGAGCTTAGTTCAATACTTTGGGCTATATGCCTTGCTCCCAGATAAAGAGTCCGGCCGTGAATCCGGCCGCAAGTCTGGCAGTAAATTTGTCCGAGACTTTTCTTTGTATGATGTTGCTGTGAACGAATTTCCAAAAGATAATTACGTTGACGCGGATCTACTTTTGGCCGCGCTGTTTCTTTTCAGTCGCCGCACTTCTGCGACTGTGACTGAACACAAGTAGTTAGTATACAAACTCGTCTTTCTTTGGATGTACTGATCATTATCTGGGCTCTGATTGCTTTTCTAGATTCGTGTTCACTGTAAATTTATGATGCTTTGTTAATCCGTAAATAGTTCTGATCATCTTTCAACGTTTCAACCTGATATCTAACATACTGTGAGTTTGTTATACATGCACATCTCAAGTTATTCTTTTATGCAAGTTTTATTAAAGACCAGAGAGTATTTCTTATTAATGATTTTCTTATTAATTTTCTCGATGCTGCGAACTAGGCTTTTTGCGGCTATTGTATGTACTATTGTCATTCCAAAATTTCAATTTCAAGCGTTGTAAAACACTTTATTTACTTGATAATGAATATGGATTATTCGAAACGTCGTTAAGTCAAATAAAAATGTCATTTGGAAACCTTATATTCGAACTTTCAAATCCCGCAAAAAGCCTAGTTCGCAGCATCGAGAAAATTGATAAGAAAATCATTAATAAGAAATACTCTCTGGTCTTCAATAAAACTTGCATAAAAGAAAAACTTCTGCCTAACTATACAAATCTCAAGTTATATGCACTTCTCGATTGCTGAAATACAATTTTTAGCCCCCTAACACTTTTACTTACTTCGTTATCCTCGTATCTTTAGGGTCCGCAGGCAGAGACTCGTAAGAACGTTTATGTAGTATATTTGTCCCGCTCCATTGTGCCCGACACGCAAGTATACGATCCACAAATTCCCGGAAGGGGGGGGGGTGTTTACTCTATCTTACACATTCAAAACAGTCTCAACGTCAATATGATAATTTCAATTGCAATTCACAGCTTGTGTTATATATTTATCGAGGAGTCTTTTCCTCTATGATTTCGTTTTGTATATCAACTGAATTTGCGACATTGTTGCCAGATGATCTTCACAATAACAACATTCAATTTCATTGTCAAAAATCTCCATTCGAAAAATGGAAACTAAATCCCGTAAATTATTAAGCTTGAAGGTTTTCTTGCGACTGTCAATTGGTATAGATTCTCCAGGTTAAAGTTCTAACCTGAACCAGTGTTGAAATTAATCGTTCTCCTCTCGTGCCACATAATGCCCCGATTTTACTGCTCTACCGAGTGTGCCCTTCTTCCCACCTGCGGTGAAACTTGCCAGATTTTTTTAATCTCATTAATCTTGTTTCCTCCAAGTCGTATAGTATTAATGCCAGGGTTGGCAGTGATTAAATCAAAATGATTAAATCATGTGATTAAATCACTTGATTTTTTTATGAAAAAATCATGATTTTTTTGATTTTTTCGATTTTTTTGATTTTTTGATTTTTTCATATATTTAAATATATTGAGTGGCAGTGTTTAATTTATATTAAGGTATTGTTATTCATATTTTAGTATAAATGTACTATAAATGACAAATTGGTATATAAACTTGTTGCCTTTAGTGTGTATTAGGTTCCAACAAATTGAATGTTTTTGGTGCATCAAGTGTGCAATACATTGTATGTAGCTAGCAGCTTAGCTAATTCTTACAAGGCTATAAGTAGTCTTTAACTATTTGACTATTTGTTATATATTGNGGCCAGCATCGGGCTGGACCTGGGCGCAGGCAAGTGCTGTGTTGCCAGCGTGCGCGCTGGAGCGGTGACGGTGTTGCCAAACGCTCACGGCGACAAGACCACTCCGAGTTTTGTTGCCTTCACCGACTCCCGCAGCCTCGTGGGCAGCGATGCCAGGGACCAGGCGGCGCTCAACGCCACCAACACCGTCTACGGCATCAAGACCGTCCTCGGCAGGAGCTTTAACAAGAATCATATTCATGACAAATTTATAAGGAATTTCCTTCCTAAATTTTCGATGACCGAGAAAGGCTCACTCTTCGAGGTGGAGTACAGAAATAAGAAGTTGACGTTACATGCGGAAGAAATTACTGCCTTACTAATCGCCAAGATGAAATCAGTGGCAGAGGATAATTTAGAAAGTCTGGTCACGAACGCCGTCATTTCCGTCCCTGTACATTTCAGCAACTCGCAGCGACAAGCCACTCTCGATGCGGCCCGCATCACCGGCCTTAAGAATGTCACGCTGATCAACTCGACCACCGCCGCCGCCATCGCTTACTGGGACCAGCACCCCAGCGAAAAGGATTGCGTCGCTATCGTCGATATTGGTGCCAGTTCACAAAGCCTTGCCATAGTTTCCATTGAGAATGGGACTGTTAAAGTTCTTGAAGCTTATGGAGGTTCAACGGTAAGTGGAAACTGTATCGACTTCTGCATGATGCAAGCCGTTGTCACCAAGTTTCAAGAAAAACACGGAAAACGTTTCGAAGCGTCCCCTAGAGCCTTGGTGAGACTGAGGACCGCCACGGAGAAGTTAAAGTTCAATCTGACGCTTCTTACCTCTTCTGCATTACAAGTGGACTCCTTATCACACGGTATCGACTTTACAACTACATTTACCAGGCGAGAAATGGAAGAGTCTTGCAAGAGCCAGTTTGAAATCCTCGAAAATGTGTTGCGTCGATGGGCAAAATCCAAAAATTGGGTTAACGTTCGGACCGTTGTTTTAGTGGGAGGCTCAACGCGTATTCCTGCTGTAGAAAGCAAAATTGCCATAACATTAGGGAAACCTCTGGATCACTCGTTGAACAAAGACGAGGCGGTTGCCTGTGGCGCTGCCCTCCGAGCTAACGAGTTGTGCTGCTCAACGCCACGCGAGGTGGAAGAGGTGTTGTCCAGGCGCATCTATTTTGAGGCGGGTGCTGAGTCAGGGAAAATTGTTGAAACTGGAGCAAGAATTCCGGACGAGTTCAATTACCAAACTTCAAATGACATCTGGAAACACATATACGATAAAGGGATGAGCCTTTATGAAAATATATCAGAGATTGATGACAAAAGAGTTGAAACCTTCGTACTGACGACAATAGGAGCAGGACAGCTCGGCCGTTCACCTCCTTCGGGAGGACTTCTATTTACGATCGATGAAAGCGGAATTGTTAAAGTTGAACTAATTTCTAGCGGCGAAACGAGCGATTTTCCTATTAGGGGGCTATTATCGGACAAGAAACGCGCACAAACTTGTTTGGGTAATCATAAGGTGTTCCTGGATGATGAAGCAAAATTGAAAGAAAATGAAAATGCCATCAACGATCTTGAAACTTTCTGCCTCGACCAACAGGAAATGCTCGGCGAGAAGTTCGGACATGATTCTGCTGCCTTCAAGTTGTGTGAAGAGATTTTGACTTGGCTTGAAAATACACCGGAGGCAACGAAGCAAGAATGCGATCAGAAAAGAATGGACTTGGTTAACAAAATAAATTCAGTATTTACCAGCAAGGATCTGCCACCTGAATCCACTAAACAAGAGTCATGCCAAGTAGATCGTACAGATACTTTTCCAAGCAAGCCAGCACTTCCACAACCGCCTACTAAAGACCGGGGACGCCTGACTAGTTTGACTGATATCAATAATGGAAATAAAGAAAATCATCAGCTAAACGAACCAACACTATATTCGCATGGGTGTAGTCAACCGCTTCGTTCTGCTCCGACTCAAGTAATAGTTCCCGTACATGGAAATGCCAAAGCACTTCAGGTAGTACCTTTTAACAATGCAGATCGGTCGACGTATACAAGATCAGATTACATGCCACCCGCACAGTCGCGAACTTTGAGCGAGACGACATTTATTAATTGTAATGCCGGCTCATCAACAAACAAAAATTCATTTCGGCAAACGGGACCATTCTGTGAAAAAATCTTTAGTGGACAAAGTTACAGTGAAACTTATTTCGACGAAAGGGATCCCCGGAACCAACTCTATCGTCGTTCCGAAAACTTTCCACGTGATTCTAACCCTTCCCTTCCTCCGATCACTTCAGTTAGAAATGACATGGGCGTAAATCGAGCAAATCATTATAAAGTTGCGACTAAACGTAAACAGCAGCAAAATACCCCAGTTATTGGAAATAAAAACAAGACTACAGTCACGAAAAAAGTGCTACATCAACAATCAAAGGAACAATACGAAGGCGATTTCGGGCAAGGTCGGCACACTGCAAAACGGAAAGCTCAACGAGATGCCAAGAAATTAAATGCCAATCAAACTTTCGTAGATCTCGACAAGTTGAGTGATGGCGAAAGCAATGATGCCAGCTTGAATATTAATAAGGAGCTAAGTTTGTGGCGGCGAGGGGTCGACACCTTGAGAGGTTGGTTCTCCCCAAAAAAACGTAATGTGGATCATCATGTTTAGCCGTTATTCCCAGTGTTAAAAATTCTTGTCACAGTGTTGTGTTGTTAGAAATTTGGTCGTAGTCAATTATAATTGCCACTTACGCTGCTCAAAAAACACTTACACATTTGTAATCGTCTTGCACGAGAGAATGGTTTACGAAGCACCATGGTTGAATGAATATTATAAGATTTCTAGGTTTATCGTACCGTAAATATAAATTCTTTCTTTCTAAAATGAGTAAATAAATTCTTAGCCTTGATCGTCATTTCACACTTAACGTTAAGCGACTTCTACCATTATCGGAGAGTTCTTTTATTGTATTCGTGACACCTCAGGTGAACTACTTAGAAAAAAAAACGAAATATATTAAGTAAGAATATTTCACTCAGTAAAATGAGGTCAAGAGATGGTAATAAGGTCATTCGTTTCCATTTTCTACCGCATATTGACAGCGTCATATCTTAAACTTGAGCAAAACGGCCCCTCAGAAGGCCTTCTGCGCATGTCCTATGCAATCGCGCGTTCCTAAAGGTGTATTTCCTGCATGCGCCCCACAACAGAGCTCGATCTTTAGGGAAGAGTTAGAATGATGATTGGCTCATGTATTAAATATTCTTACTGTTATTATTATATCTGATATGTAGTTATGTAGGCGTATGTATAGACTCTACATTACCATCGTGTCTTGAGAATTTTTTTCCTTTGTTTGGTGCAAAAATTTAAACCCATTCACAGTGTTCAATTCTCTGTGAATTGAACACAGCTAATGATGTGTGGTCCCATGAGCGCTAGATTCTTTTATTATGAATTTCTCGTGTAAGAAAAAAATTAAAGATTTGTATAAAAATTTAATTCAATTTACGATTAATAATAATCAGCAACTGTAACGATCCAATGCGAAGCAAATGCTTTTACTTTCATTTCCAACAACCCATAATCTGATAACCCATATTGAGGGAGACGTGCTCACCTTTTAATACGGACGTTGTTAAATAGCGCCTGGTGTGCCACTACTTGTCCCGAAAAACTTTGTTATCATTATTGTGCATGTGAATAATATTGATAAACCTCGTCATTAATGCGACCCAAAAAATATTTGTTGAGCTAAGTTTCGTTAGTAGGCTGCGCCAAGATGGTTCTGGAGACCCATGATCTAAGGCTACGGCCAGACTAGCAGCGTTCACGCTGATGCATGCTGACGCTCGCTGGAGGTGCGATATTATATGTATGTATTTCTATTAGAGAGGCCACACTAGACACGTACAGGCAGTAGCTTCGTTAAGCAGACGCGCGCTGCAAAGCGCGTCGAAAAATCCATATTATACTAGACATAAGCGCGTTCCTGCAGTGCCCTCTAAGCTGCTGAGAGCTGTGGCCTCCAGAAAATTGGATTAGAGTAACGAAGCCTCAGTATCGAAAACATTGCAGAATAAGTGCGGGATTGGATGGTTTGTGCAAAATTGGTGGATGTCAATTAGTTAGGGAGGCATCTTCATTCGCCTAACTGAATTTATGAAGTAGCAATAGGCCTAACTGAATTTACAGACTGAGCTTATTTCAGAAAATTTCCGCTAGCTATTTCAAGACATATTTTAACTCCAATTCCAAAGAAATTCTGAGACTACTGAGCATGGTGAACAACTATGGTACGTATAAATTCGCGATTGAAAACCGTCTTTGATGAACGTCCCACTTACCCACGATCCGAGTATGTGAAAAATATGACACAACTCCATGCAGGATATCCATTCTATTCCTGACATATCTAATTCCCGAACGCCTAATATTTTGATCGATTTTTACTAACTAGAACATTGCATTGCTCTCGTCAATTTATTCTGCTGCTATCTGCTCTCGCCCGAAGCGATCGGATGTACATGTACTCTATATATGAAGGTAAAAAAATATCTAAAATCAAAAGCGAGTTTATTTGAATTATTTTTCATTCCAAAAAGTTGCACATGCCCATGAAATCTGTCTATTAAGGTTAGGCTGGCAACGTATGCATCGCATATAACCTTTCAAAGTACCCATCTAATCTGATTCAAATGGATTCCAAATTGATAAAACCAAGCATATATGTGATTTAGAAATTTATCTACTATTTCTCTATAAAACCTCTATCAAATAGAACGGCTGTCAATCTCTTGCTGAAATTCATATATACGCACTGACTGGCCGTATGCTGAGCGGTTCAGCGTTTACTGTGACCACTACCTATACGCACAGCGCGGCGCTGCTTTGCTTGAAGTGTCAGCCTGCGTCAGCGTCAAAGCTTCTAGTCTGGCCGCAGCCTTAGGGTACGCACACAGTGAAAGCAGGTTGCCAGCGTGCTGGTTACCTGCTCAGGCTGGCGCCTGAAACCTTAGAATACAGACGCCTACTGGTACAGGTTTTCACTGTGAACACTTACATTATTATCCTATGTTCATTCTTGTGGCAGGTTGGAGCAGGTTGCCCGCGCGGGCAAACCTGCTTTCACTGAGTACGTACCTTTAAGCTGGGTTTACGCCATACTGCCGGGCCAGTGCCAGTTAGGGTCAAGGCCAATATTCTATAATGAATTGCCATAGAAGCCTTTACGCCATGGGCATGGCAGGTGCCTTGCACGGCTGGTGTGAATTCTTCTAAAGAATTGTATTTATTAATATTGGACTGGGCCAGGATTGCCAGACGGTCTTTTTGCCAGCAAATTCCACGATTTAGTCTTTCAATTGCGTTGCCCAGCTAAAATTTATAATATGGGTAATTCCTATTTAAGTTTAAAAAACTGCAAAAAAAGAAATGGAATTTTTACACCGGAATCTACAAATATTCTAGTGTATATTGAGTTACAGGCGTTTTTGGCCTTTTTTTGTTAGCGGACTTGGCCGTTTCTTAGGCCATTTGGCAACCCTGGACGGGACCGTGACTGGCTTATGCCTGACACGCGCCAGGCAGTATATGGCGTGGACTCGGCCTATAAGAGTTTACAAACCAATGCTGCAACTTTTCTGCTGTTCTCTGTTTGTTTCCTTGATGAACATCATTATGAATACCATTGTTTTTTTGTATGAATAAACTTATAATCGATAAATAGCGTGTAATTAACTATGCATTTTCAAATAATATTTCAGCTGCTTGTTTTGCAGACCGAACACGTCGTCGTTCGCGAATTTTCTACAAAAAAATGCTTGAATATAAACTGGCAAGCGATCTGTATGCTTTATTGTCGAATTATTTTACCTGGTAGCTATTTCGTTATTTCAAACTAATTAACTAGTTTGTACAGAAAGCATCCAGCAAATACAATCAAAGGAAAATTGAGTAAAAAATTTCAGTGACTTGCTCATTGTATGTTTGGAAATATTTTGACCATAA